TATCTAGAGCTATTATGAGTAGTTTAGAAATGTGTAATTGATAGGTTTTTAAAGTTATTATAGAAATAAATTAGTTAATTATTAATTAAAACGTGTATCGCCTTTGTATCACGTTTGCATCGCTGCTTAAAGTCGGGCGTGTGTAACCGCTCTAAACAAAAATTGTTCGATGCAAAAACAGTATAACCACAATTTTTTTAGGGGAATTTTTCTTTACAGCAGGAGATGTAAAAACTTGAAAATTTGAAATGTGATTTGTTTACATAACAATTTGTTTTCTCGTTTTCCAGGGCACTCAAGCAACTTTAGAGATCAGGATAGTGAACGTCTTGAATAGCAACTCGTTCGTATGCATCAGATTTCCGTTCCGCGTAGAACCACCCTTGCCGGCGACATTTGATGGTCCTGAGAATATAATTAATTAAGAGCGTAAGCACCCAGTTATTCGACGCGAAAGTTTTCGCGCGGCCGCCGCGCGGCGACCGCCCAGTTACCACGCTTTCATGTACATTAATGGCGAATCCGAATTCTATTCGCTAGGCTTAATATTTAAATTCCTCTGAATAATACCACCACGCGGTCATAAGGCTAAACAGTCGTTGAAAACCAAATACAAATATTCAACAACAAGCACATAGAAAAATTGATGAGGTCCGCTGGTTCGTTCCGTGGCTTAGTTGGCATAGTGTCTGACACGGTTTGCTAGAAGACGTCGGTTCGAATCCGGCCGGATCGAAGGAATTTTTTCAAAGTATTCGATCTTTGTATTAATAATAATAATGATAAAAAATAGCCGATTGTTATTTTATTTATATTACAATTAATTTATTCTAATATACTCTACTAACAAAGGTTTGTCGTGTGTTTGTTAATTTCGTCAACTTAGTTATTAAAGTATTTTGTTTAAAATTTTGATTTAATGAATGCTACAGTTTTTAAATTTTCAACCGGTTCTGCTTGTTTATACTCTGCACATTTTGATCTTTGGTAATAATATAATTTCAAATGAATAAATTAAATCTCGTTTTCATTTTCATTCCCGTCCAACTCATTCTGGCTTAAATAAAATCTAGCAGCGAAGCGTTAACTCGTGAACGCATCCATCTGTGCCCGTGGTCGGCTGTCACTCGCCACCCGCGCTCCAAAATGGCTGCCATTCTGTCAATTCAATTCGAAAGATACAGGTCGCGCACTTAGTCGAGGGGCGCTTATTATGTTTGCGACCTTAACCTCATACTCAAGTTTTTGGGTGTTTATTATTGCGCTCCAAAATGGCTGCCATTCTATCAATTCAATTCGAAAGAAACAGGTCGCGCACTTAGTCGAGGGGCGCTTATTATGTTTGCGATCGTAAATCTCATACTCAAGTTTTTGGGTGTTTACTATTGCGCTTCAAAATGGCTGCCATTATGTTTACGAGTCGCAAATCTTATACCTAATTTTACGAGAAGATTCCAGAATCTCTGCCATTCAGTCAATCCAATGCTACAAATACAGGTCATGCATTGAGTCCAGAGGCGCTTATTTGTTGAAAGATATATTCTCACGTCTTTCTTCAGGTGCGGTATTATACTTAGCAGTGGTAAATTGGGTTTCAAAATGACGAGTTCTACACTACTGTGGTGTGATATTCTATTGCGGTGCTGGAAGATCTCATAGTTCATTTCAATCCCTCATACAGAAAAAAGTAAGCAAACAGGTCACTGTCCTAACCATAGACGGTTTAGGGATGGCACTGACAACTATAAATCAATTGCTTAAGACAGCCTACACGGTCGAATGTTTACCATGCTGGTCTGCCACGCAGAGGTCCTAAGTTCGATTCCCGAGCTGGGGGAAATATTTGTATGGCCTACATTTCTTTCGTGAGTTTTGGTGTAATTTGTGGTTGTTTATGTGTGTGTCCATGGCACCCGCGGCATAGGGTTTTCCTAGTGCAGGGCTATGAGTGTGTGTGTGTTATAAAAAATTAAATAAATCGATTTCTTTATTTGAATTGGTTGGAATAGCTGTTATTTTTGCAATTACCAACAAAAACTACGTGATTCAATACCGAGTGATGATATTTTCATACATAGGTTTAGTACATGGGGCACTTATACTACTAGTGGTTTTTTCTTTTACCTGTAAAAGTAAATTTAAAATTTTCGAAATCTTAATTTTAAATCCTCTTTTAAATTTTTGCACTTATATACATATTCGATTGTGATTGAAATATTCGGTTTACTAATCGATTACAAAAACTTCAATTGAATGAATGAATCGAATGAATTTTTTCGTACAGCACTATTCAACCATACTTCTACATCTGAAAAATAACCTCACTTTTGGACTAATATTCTTTAAATATGGTTTTAAGTTGTTATTTAAATGAGTATTGCTGGAAAAAGCGATAAGGCGAAATCTTCAAAATATTCGTGGAAGTGTTTTTTGCTCCATTTATTGAGTGATTGCTTTAAAATTTTAACCAAACGGATTTGTTTATTTTTACTACAGTATAGTTAGACTATAATTTAGTAACAATTTGATTGCATTAACTGCAAAAGGTATAAAATACAAAACTAGTTTCGGTTTATAATCATTAAACCATCTTTCTTTTTGTTAATTCGAAATTTACAGTAGCTTAGACGTGACAAGCGCAGGTAAACACGTCATAATCAAATAGCATGGTTTCAGAGGCTCTGTGACAAAATACATCCCTGTATTTAGTGATGGACGCAGACGCGCTGTGGTCCACTGGATTCGCGTTGATGAATGAACGTGTTCCGAAATTGAACGTAGAATAGTAGAATAGCTTAATTTTTAAACACGTCGAATGTGAAATACGTGTTTCTCCGCGTTTCGGGGATTAGAAAATACCATATAAATATTTCAATTGAAGACTACGTGTTAGATAAAGATGTATGGAAAGACGACATGACTATTCCACACAAATTTGATCCAGTGTATTACATAGCATTTAAGTTTATTTGTTACGAGCGATCCCTAGAGTTTCTTGCTCGTTCTTCTCAGGGAAGTCAGCACGAAATGTCCTTTTCAAGTGAAATTTTATTATATAATATACAAAAATTCTTTATTGAATACCAAAATGTACACGAATACAATACAATTAAAATAAAAAGAAATAAGCGATGGTACAATGGGCGGTCTTAGCGATTTTTGCCATACAACATTTGGATGGAAATAATTATAATATAACTCACAGGAAAAAGACGGCGGTGTATGAAGATTTTGTAATCGGTAGATAGAAAATCGATAAATAAATACATATGTGCACATATGATAAATAATAACACATAAAAAAATTCTACTTTAAAAAAAATCATAATAAAATATAATTTTGAAACATTTTAATACCTAAGCAGTTCAAGTCACACTAAAGTAAGTTAGTATTCTTTTATCAATTTTTGAAAAGGTGCAATGATTTCGCTTGTTGAATAGACAAAGGTAGAGCGTTCCACAAACGCATTCATCACCTGAACAGTAAACGACTTCTCGTAGTACTGGGAGGTATGCAAGGGCATCTTAAGTTGGAGAATTGAAGATGAACGGAGAAGTCCGGGGTTGGATTGAAGGAATTCAAATCGCTCCTGAAGATAAGGTGTTGTGAGGTAGGAATAAGATACCATAAAGAAGATTAAGAGTATGAGCATTCCGGCGAAGTCTGATGGGTACCCAATTCAGCTCCTTGCGGTAAATGGAAACATGATCAAATTTCCTCAGACTATAAAATGAAACGAATACAAAAGTTTTGTAGACGTTCGAGCTTATTGAGCTGTTCTTCGGTTAAATCCAGATAGCAGGCATCAGCATAATCAACAATTAGAAGAAGAGTTTGCGCAAGCGCAATTTTTGTGGCAATCGGCAATTATAAATGACATCTATATGATAAATGATTAGTTGACTTTGAATTTAAGGTAATGTATACACTATAACTTATTGTAATATAGGTACATAGTAAATAACATATAGTGTTTAAATTTTATTGAATTGATATTCAATTATTTTTTATGTGAAATTACTCCACTAGTTTGTTATAATTATAAATACAAAGATCGAACACTCAGAAAAAATTTCTTCGATCCGGCCAGATTCGAACCGACGTCTTCTAGCATACCGTGGCAGACGCTATACCAACTAAGCCACAGAACTTGAATAGACTATAATCTAACACGTTAATGAAATTGTTCAATTCCGACGTGGGTACCATTGACAATAGAAGTTTGATTCAGAACTAAAAAGAGCGCCTTTGTGTTATGGTTTATGAAATTATAATTGACAGATTAAAACTACAGGAGTAGAAAAAGTATTTTTCATTAAACCTTAAAATGTAAACATTTAAACAAAACACAAACACGCTAAACTAACAGTAAATTATGTTTGCAACTTGTCAAATACAAACAAAATTAGATAATGCAAACAATACGGTATAGCGGTAATGTGAATGTAGATATATATAATACATCTACATTCACATTACCGCTCGGTGAATGCAAACATTGTTTTGAAATTAATTTCAATGCAGACACGACAATCGGACAAATTGAATTTGTTATAACGATAAAATGTTGTTTATGTCGTAACTTTTGAACGAAATTAATTTGCACGATTTGTATTCAATTAAGCTTTACAGCAATTCGTATTGCCCTTGGCCAGGGCTCCGTCACTCGCTCGAGGTTACGCGATAAGTGCCTACCGCTGAATGTATCGCCGACAGTGCAAGCGCTCAGACAAGTCTTTCATTTACATTACAATCCTTGTACAACCCAGCTTTCCGTTCCACACGACAGCACACGGCGGGTAATGTTATTTTCACCTCTCTGAGCGCGTGTTTAAGTTCTTTTTCCTTGTAGTGAGCGCCGAGTGACATTAGTCAGATTTAGGCTGCCTTTCCACCAGAGATGTGCGACGTAGCGAAGTAGCGTGCGAGGAAAAAATCCACCAATAGGATTACTTCATTTTCCTAGCCTCGCTTAGCGCAGCTTCGGTGGAAAAGGATTAGCGGAGCTAAGTATTTGTACATACAAAATAGCGACAAATGTGTGCGAGAAGTGTATGCGAGGGATGCGGGCGAGGAATGTGTGCAAAACGGTATAGGAAACTAGAGGAGGGGGAGATGAAGTTTCGTATTCATTCATAACTACGTTGAAGGAGCTCATTGCTGTACATTGTCAATAGCGACGTGCAGTAAAATTTATGGATGTTCAACTCGGCATTTGTTTATTGAAATTCGAAATGTTAAATGAAATCTAATACGATCGTCACTCATGGGATCGCCGTCTAGCACAACTTTTACCTCCGGCAAACTCGCGTCAAAGCTCAATGCAAAACAAAGCAGTTTCGAATTGACGATATATTAGATAGATAGATAGATAGATAGATAATTCGTTTATTTGCCGAAACACAGTACATTACAAAGACAAACTTACAACAAAGGTACAATAGTAGAATTAAAAAATAATAATAAAAAAGAAAAACAAACTAGTCTATACTTGATGTGGAGTGTTATATTGTGTGGAGTGTAGATTTGCGTGTACTGTGCCAGCAAAAAGGACCCAACTCAGCATTATGTCGCAGCTCAGTAGAACTACGACGCTGGTGATTCTGCTAGGTCCTAAATGAGCCGGTAAAAAGAAGAGAAGATTCATAT